TGTATACCCACAAGCATTATGAAATTACATATATTAGAAACCAGCTCTTTCTCTTTTCTTCCTTTTCCATTTAACCAGACTGAGAGAATTTAGAGATATTAAACTCTCATGGTTCCATTGCTTACAGTTAGAGCAATGGTTCAAGAATTGGATAAAAAATCATGGGGAAGGAGGAAAACTTACGCAAGTTGAACAAATGATACAAAAAGAAAGAGCTACGGGAGGATACCATAAGCTGAAAAGAATAACCAGCAAATTGTATAAGATAATAATTGATATTAAGGGGGGGGGGGAATAAAGGATGCAACACTAAGAGAGATATGGGAGGAAGACCTAGGGATTAGAATAAAAGAAGCGGATTGGGTACAATTATGGGATCAAAGATATTTAAAGAATTTATTCATACGTGTTAAAGAAAATTGTTATAAATTTGGTTTGGAAATGGTACTTAACACCCGTGAAGATTGCAAATATTAATAGGAATGCCACAAAAATTGTTGGAGAGGTTGTCAGGAGGTGGGTACATATATACATATGTGGTGGCAATGTAAATATGTAAATGAATTTTGGGGGAAGGTATTTGGAGAGATAGAAGCTATAATGGATATAAAGATAGGGAAAAGCGCAAGCATTGCATTGTTGTCAGTATATAATGTTAAGAAATTGGAAAAAAACAGAGAAAGATGCAATAGATAACAGGTTAACTGCAGCAAGATTACTGATAGCGAAGAATTGGAAAGGTAAAATAAATATATCAATTAAAGAATGGTATAAAGAACTATGGAAAATAGCAATAAATGTTAAATTGACATGTAGGTTATGAGTCAGAAAAGGGGTATGGAAGGAAAACGACTTTGATAAAGTTTGGGGAAAATGTATTGAGAATGGCTTAAAAGAAGTAGATGGGAAAATCCCTCCACAAAAAGAAAAGGTATTTTGGAAAGAGAATGCAAATTGAAGTGGCTCAGAAGGGGGGGGGGGGCACAGAGGTGAAAATATATATATACAAGATATATATACACTTATAGTTGATGTAATGAATTAAAGATGGAATATTTGAAGGTATTGATGTATTGATGTATTCTAAGAAAACCAATAAAAATATATTAAAAAACCAGACTGAGCCACAGCAACACATTGCCGGGTACAGCTAGACTTATATAAAATGTATGCTATGTGTGCAAGATGCATATGAAATATAAATACATTTTTTTGAATCCCATCTCCAAGATACCTCATTATATTGACACATTCGGAATTTTTTTAAAAAGCCAGAATCCAAAACACTTCTGGTCCCAACATTTGGGTACGTCCAATCTATATTTTTTATGGCTACTAACTAGCCTTTTTTTGGTTTTAAAGGCCCAGCAGCAACTAATGGCTGTCATGTTAGTGAAGTTGTTTATCTGTATTTAGTTTAGTCTGAATTTGAAAGACTTTCTCCAACATGCTAAAACTAAACTCCATTCGGATTAGCACCATGGCCAGCTCCTTTGAAATTCAGACTGAGATTCAGGGTGGATTCACCATCTAAATGACACAGCATTAGCTACAAGATGCCACTGTTGTAGCCTAAAATATATGTTTTACTTCAAGCCACTACAACAACAACAACAACAACAACACCACCAACAATAATAGTGACCCACCAGACCCATCAATAGAATGCAGCCATGGCAGTTATAATGGAATCATTTGTTGTTCATTCGTTCAGTCGTCTCCGACTCTTCGTGACCTCATGGACCAGCCCACGCCAGAGCTCCCTGTCGGCCGTTACCACCCCCAGCTCCCTCAAGGTCAGTCCAGTCAATTCAAGGATGCCATCCATCCATCTTGCCCTTGGTCGGCCCCTCTTCCTTTTGCCTTCCACTTTCCCCAGCATAATTGTCTTAATGGAATCATAGTGCAATAATAATATTGTCTGGAATGGATACAATGATAGTCCAGGAATAAATACCAAGCATGGGATATCTGTGCTTCTTTGGATAACTTTTCCTCAGCTTGGTACGCTCTGAATGATTTAGATTACAACTCTCATCATTCCCACCTAATAACACCAACAAGGTGTTATGGGATTTGCAAGCCAAAACAATTGAAGGAGAGAGCTAATAGGTGGAGATGGTTGTTCCAGATACTAGTATTCAGCTTTAACTCCTGCTCAGTTTTAGATGTGGAAATGTTTGTATTTCAATGCTGCAAGGAGCAGGGTTGCCAAGACTCCCGATCTCAGAAACGCACTGCAACATTTCAGAATTAAAAGTCCTATTTTAGAAACCAAGACATTGATTGCATTTTAGAAGTCAGGTAAAAAAGACCATAATATGTTTAATGTATTTGTCGAAGGCTTTCATGGCTGGAATCACTGATTGTTGTAGGTTTTTTTGGGCTATATGGCCATGTTCTAGAGGCATTCTCTCCTGACGTCAGGAGAGAATGCCTCTAGAACATGGCCATATAGCCCAAAAAAACCTACAACAACCCATAATATGTTATTTGGACCTGGCCTTGCACCCATCCAATTTGTTCCTGTTGTGAAAAATACAAAATTCACCCTGACACTGGGTTGCTGTGAGTTTTCCAGACTGTATGGTCATGTTTCAGAAGCATTGTCTCCTGATGTTTCACCCACATCTATGGCAGGCATCCTCAGAGTTTATCAAGTCTGTTGGAAACTAAGCAAGTGGGGTTTATATATCTGTGGAATAATGTCCAGGGTGGGAGAAAGTACTCTTGTCTGTTGGAGGCAAGTGTGAATGTTGCAAATGGCCAGCTTGAGTAGCATCAAAAAGCCTTGTAGCTTCAAAGCCTGGCTGCTTCCTTCCTGGGGGAATCCTTTGTTGGGAGGTGTTAGCAAGGCCATTCAATGCCAATCAAGGCTAATCAAATTGACCAATTGCCACATTCACACTTGCCACCTTGATTAGCACTGAATGGCCCTGCAGCTTCAAAGCCTGCCTGTTGCCTACCTGGAGGAAACCTTTGTTGGGATGTGTTACCTGGTCCTGATTGTTTCTCATCTGGAATTCCACTGTAGTTTAAGTGCTGCTCTTCATTTACTGCCCTGATTTTAGAGTTTTTAAATACTGGTAGCCAGATTTTGTTCATTTTCATGGTTTCCTCCTTTCTGTTGAAATTGTCCACATGCTTGTGGATTTCAATGGCTTCTCTGTGTAGTCTGACATGGTGGTTGTGAGAGTGGTCCAGCATTTCTGTCTTCTCAAATAATACGCTATGTCTAGGTTGGTTCATGAAGTGCTCTGCTATGGCTGACTTCTCTGGTTGAGTTAGTCTGCAGTGCCTTTCATGTTCCTTGATTCATGTTTGCACATTCCATAGATATATAAACCTCAACTGCCTATTTTCCAACAGACCTCACAACCTTTGAGGATGCCTGCCATAGATGTGGGTGCAATGTCAGGAGAGAATGTTTCTGGAACATGGCCATGCAGTCTGGAAAACTCACAGCAACCCAGGCCAGTGATTCCGGCCATGAAAGCCTTCGACAGCACATTCACCCTGGCACTTGTTAACAGGGACAAAATCCATAAGTAATCTGTGTCTTAAATCTTGTTCTTTTGATCATAATAGATACACTGAATGTATGGGGTTTACCAATAGGCTGATTAATCAGTAGATAGAATGGGTCAACTCTAGTTGGATGTATCCAAGAGAATGTCCATCTCTGTGTGATCTCCACATTTATGAACAACAGGAGAATTGTTTACATGAACCAATATGGCCAACGTACTCTCAGATCACTAGAGTAAAGCAACCTATTCTGCTTAGCAGAGGCTCACCAAGATCCCTAGGAGCCTCTGGTGGTGCAATGGGTTAAATCCTTGTACCGACAGGTCATAGGTTCAAATCTGGGGAAAGTGTGGATGAGCTCCCTCTGTCAGCTCCAGCTCCCCATGCGGGGACATGAGAGAAGCCTCCCACAAGGAGGGTAAAATATCAAAACATCCGGGCATCCCCTGGGCAACGTCCTTGCAGACAGCCAATTATCTCACACCAGCAGCAACTTGAAGTTTCTCAAGTTGCTTCTGACACATACGCACACACACACACACACACACACACACACAAAACCAAGATCCCTGGAAAGCTTTCTTAGCTGTCAAGTCAAGTTTCTTTTTAGTGGAGAAGCTGGTAACTCAATCCAGGAACCTCCCTGGATAAAATATGCACCCTTTAAGTTCATCTATACAGTAGAATGAATGCAGTTTGACACCAATTTAATTGCCATGGCCAAATGCTATGGGGTTGTGGAAGTTGTAGTTTTTGAAGGCCTTCAGTCTTTTCTACTGAAGAGTACTGGTGTCTCACTAAACTACAGTTCCCAAACTTTGGTAGCATTGAGCCACAGCAGTTAGTGGTGTCACAATGCATTCATTCTGTGGTGTAGATGCACTTTCTGGTGAGCTTCACCCCATCAACACACAGAAGATTAGGCAACTTGGAAGATGCTGAACAGACTGCTCTCTGGCACCATGAGATGAAGACCCAACCTTAAGAAATGGACCCACAAAGTGGAGTCCAAGACATGAGAATGTGGAAAAGATCAAACCACAGACCACCTACTACAATGCAACCTGAGCCCAGCCACATGCACAATGGAGGACCTTCTCACAGCAACACCAGAGGCACTCCAAGTGGCCAGATACTGGTCAAAGGATATTTAATATAATACCAAGTTTTAAAACTTTGTGTTTTTAAAAATACATCACAATGGTACCCTTGGTTTGCATCTGATACAATGAATAAATACTCCATCGACAAAGCTTATGGTCTTCTTGGTGCATTGTGCCCATACACACCTATGGTCAGGACCCAATGCTCCTCCCAGAATATCTATCTCATGCCGTTCCCTGATAGTGTAACCCAATGTGGTCCACACCCTCAACACAATGTTGCCTCATGACATTCAGAAGACAAGAAGAAGACATTCATTAAGCTGGAAGTCCCACTGGGTCTATAATAGAGAAGAACATGGCGCTCACCTGTAGGAGGATGTGCTCACCCGGGCGGTGACTTCCTTCTTGATCTGCTGGTTGAGGGCATCCACCGCCGCTCTCCCTTTGCTGCTCTCTGGTGGTGCGGAGGAGCCCGGCTGTGGTTGCTGCTGTTGCTGCTGCTGGACAGCTCCATCCTCCACAACATGGACTCGCTTCTTGACCTTCTTGACCCTGGCTTCTTCAGGCCTGCTTGGCTTGGCCTCTGCATCTTTGCTGGGTTTCTCTGGCTCCTGTCCCACTGAGGCCTTCTTCCTCCTCTCTTGGCTTCCAGACCTTTCCTTGGAGCCCCTGTCCAGGTCCACTGGAGGGATGGGCATCTGCTTGGGGATCCAAGGGTGGTCCCCTCTTTTGGGGATGGGCCAGGCCCTGAAATCCTTCTGGTACTGGCTCTCTGAATCGAAAGGCGTGTCCGACGGCTGGTATTCGCTTTTGGGCTTGCAGCTAGGCTCAGGCCGCTGGACTTTCCAAGGCTTGTAGTCCTGGCGCATCACCGAGTCGGCACCCAGGGGCTCTTTGGAGCTGGTTTTGTGGAGCGCCCCGGATGACCCCGCGGTTGCCGCATGTTCCCCGGCCCCAGAGTCACCACCCGCATGGGATGCAGCAGAGGGCTGGGTCTCGATGGCCGAAGACGGGCGTGGCAGGGCCAAGGACGGCTGGACAGGCTGCTGCTGAAGGACCAAGTGGGTGCCGGGGATCTCGGTGGCTTCGGAGTATTTGGTGAAGACCAAAGGCACGGCGATGTCGGCTTTGTCCAGCTGGTTCCAGAAGCGGGCGATGCAGCACGCCCGGCTGATGCATGGCCAGGCCATCTTGTCAGCCGGGTCCAGCCCTGCTCCTACTCCCTCCACTTCGGAGTACCTGCCCTTCCTTCCTTCCTTCCTTCCTTCCTTCCTTCCTTCCTTCCCTCCCTCCCTCCCTCCTTCTCTCTGCCAGGCAAACAATGAGCCTCCTCCCTCTGTCTCCTATCCACCCAACCCTTTCTCCTTCTCCTCCTCCTCCTTCCAAGCTTACATTAGAGGCCTAAAACATCCACCTTGGAGGAATAATCCCCCCCAAACCAGGTGGCAACAAGGAACCCCCCAAAACACCCAAGCAACCCAAGCAATTAATGTGTCTGCCTCTTCCTTAGCAATCTCCAGGGAGGATTCAGCGTGTATAGTTTCTTCCTATGAGAAGATAAAAGGGATTGTGGATCCAGAAAGATCTCTCCCCACTTCTGAAATGTGAACAACAAGGAACCCCCCAAAACACCCAAGCAACCCAAGCAATTAATGTGTCTGCCTCTTCCTTAGCAATCTCCAGGGAGGGTTCAGAGTGTATCCCTTCTTCCTATGAGAAGATATAAGGGATTGTGGATCCAGAAAGATCTCTCCCCACTTCTGAAGTCTGAACAGCCCCTTAAATTAAGCCCCAAGCACTTGATATTTGATCTGCAAGGGAGGCCAAAGAAATCTCTGGGAAGGATTCAGAACTGATCCATTCCGCCTCCTGAAGAAACAAGGGAGGAGGAGAAGGAGGGAAGAGAGGAGGACAATAATGGAGCTAAGGAAAGGGAAGGTCTTCAGGGATGGGGAGAGGTTGCTTTCCCCTTTCTCCTTGCAGCTCCTTGATCCTTCTTTTCCCAATCCCAGAAGAGGATGGACGCAAGCTGAAGGAGAAGAAGATCCAGGCTCAGGCCAGAGAGAGGGATGCGCAAGGCAGGTCGTGGAGGCTTCCCGAGTGGCGTCTTCTGGGGGAGAGGGGCGAGGGGGAAAACCTCATGGCCGGAGAAGAGGAGGAGGGCCTGGGGAAGGGAGAGGGGAGGGAGAAGGGCCCGGTCCTCGCTTGGAAGCAGCCCCAATGCTGGAGAAGGTCTCCCTCGGCGCTTTTTACGCACGGCAAAGTCTCCCGGTGCGCTTTTACGCACGGCTGGCTCCCTCTCCGGAAAGCGGACCCCCGAAAAGCAGAAGACAGGAGCAGCACCGGGTCCCGATCCAGGAAAATTGGGCTCAGCCGATAGAAGAGGAAGAAGAGGAGGAAGAGGGAGAGAGAGGCAGCAGCGGCATCGCCGCAGCAGCTGCAGCAGAGCGCAAACAGGCGGCCACACCCAGGATGGAAGAGAGAGGAGGAGGAGGAGGAGGAGGAGGAGGAAGGCGGAGGAGGGATGCGGTGCCTTCGTCACTGCGCAGGCGCCCTTGGGAGTGTGTGTATCTAGAAGGGGGGGGGAGCATAAACCACCCCTTTAACCCTTTGCTGCCTGCAGGGATGCGCCTTCTCTGTAGCAGGAATGCAGTTTGGCAATGGGTTAACCCGGGTATATGCAAACTTGGGCCTTCCAGGTGTTTGGACTACAACTCCCACCATTCCTAACAGCTTCAGGCCCTTTCCTTTCCCCCCTCAGCCGCTTAAGCGGGAAAGGAAGGGGCCTGAGGCTGTTAGGAATGGTGGGAGTTGTAGTCCAAACACCTGGAAGGCCCAAGTTTGCCCATACTTGGATTAAATCCTTGTGCTGGCAGGACTGCTGACCGAAAGTGGAGTCTCTTGCATTTCTCTCTGTTGAACTAACACAATGAAGTTCAACAGTGACAAATGCAAGATACTCCACTTAGGCAGAAAAAAAAATACTCCAGAGGACAGGAGCAGGATTCAAAACGATCTTGACAGACTAGAGAGATGGGCCAAAACTAACAAAATGAAGTTCAACAGTGACAAATGCAAGATACTCCACTTTGGCAGGAAAAACGAAATGCAAAGATACAGAATGGGGGACAAAGCCTGGCTCGAGAGCAGTACGTGTGAAAAAGATCTTGGAGTCCTCATGGACAACAAGTTAAACATGAGCCAACAATGTGATGTGGCGGCAAAAAAAGCCAATGGGATTTTGGCCTGCATCAATAGGAGCATAGTGTCTAGATCTAGGGAAGTAATGCTACCCCTCTATTCTGCCTTGGTTTTGGATCACACCTGGAATCACACTGTGTCCCATTCTGGGCACCACAATTCAAGAGAGATATTGACAAGCTTGAATGTGTCCAGAGGAGGTCAACTTAAAATGATCAAGGGTCTGGAGAACAAGCCCTATGAGGAGCGGCTTAAAGAGCTGGGCATGTTTAGCCTGTAGAAGAGAAGGCTGAGAGGAGATATGATAGCCATGTATAAATATGTGAGAGGAAGCCACAGGGAGGAGGGAGCAAGCTTGTTTTCTTCTTCCCTGGAGACTAGGACGCAATGGAACAATGGCTTCAAACTACAAGAGAGGAGATTCCATCTGAACATGAGGAAGAACTTCCTGACTGTGAGAGCTGTTTAGCAGTGGAACTCTCTGCCCCGAAGTGTGGTGGAGGCTCCTTCTTTGGAAGCTTTTAAACAGAGGCTGGATGGCCATCTGTCAGGGGTGATTTGAATGCAACATTCCTGCTTCTTGGTAGAAAAGGGTTGGACTGGATGGCCCATGATGTCTCTTCCAACTCTTTGATTCTGTGATTCCTTTCCCCCCTCAACCGCTTAAGCAGTTTGGAACAGCATTATATGGTCAATGTGACCATTATAATACAGTTCAATGTAGGTAAGCTGCATTATATGGCTGTACGCCGGGCCTGGTCAAACTTTGGCTCTCCAGATGTTTTGGACTCCAACTCCCACCATTCCTAACAGCCTCAGGCCCCTTCCTTTTCCCCTGGCTGAGGGAGGAAAGGAAGAAGCCTGAGGCTGTTAGGAATGGTGGGAGTTGAAGTCCAAAACACCAGGAGGGCCAAAGTTTGCCCATACCTGGGTTAAATCCTTGTACTGGCAGGACTGCTGACCGAAAGGGGGCAGTTCGAATCTGGGGAGAGCAGGTTGAGCTTCTGACTGTCAGCCCCAGCTTCCCATGCAGGGACATGAGAGAAGCCTCCCACAGGATGGGCATCCCTGGTCAACGTCCCTGCAGATGGCCAATTCTCTCACACCAGAAGCAACTTGAATAGAATAGAATAGAATAGACTCATAGAGTTGGAAGAGACCTCATGGGCCATCCAGTCCAACCCCTTTCTGCCAAGAAGCAGAAAAATTGCATTCAAAGCATCCCTGACAGATGGCCATCCAGCCTCTGTTTAAAAGCCTCCAAAGAAGAAGCCTCCATCACACTCCAGGGAAGAGAGAGAGTTCCACTGCTGAATAGCTCTTACCATTAGCAAGTTCTTCCTCGTGTTTAGGTGGAATCTCCTTTCCTGTTGTTTGAAGCCATTGTTCCACATCCTAGTCTCCAGGGCAGCAGAAAACAAATCTGCTCCCTCCTCCCTGTGACTTCCTTTCACATATTTATACATGGCTCTCATCATGTCTCCTCTCAGCCTTCTCTTCTTCAGGCTAAACATGCCCAGCTCTTTAAGCCGCTCCTCATAGGGCTTGTTCTCCAGACCCTTGATTATTTTAGTCACCCTCCTCTGGATACATTCCAGCTTAAAGTCAACATCTCCCTTCAATTGCGGTGCCCAGAATTGGACACAGTATTCCAGGTGTGATCTAACCAAGGCAGAACAGAGCACGAGGAGCATGACTTCCCTGGACCTAGACACTATGCTCCTATTGATGCAGGCCAAAATCCCATTGGCCTTTTTGCCACCACATCACATTGTTGGCTCATGTTTAATTTGTTGTCCACAAGGACTCTAAGATCTTTTTCACACATACAGCTCTCGAGCCTGTATCTTTGCATTTCATTTTTTCTGTGTAAGTGGAGTTTCTTGCATTTGTTACTGTTGAACTTCATTTTGTTAGTTTTAGCCCATCTCTCTAATCTGTTAAGATCGTTTTGAATTCTGCTCTTGCAGTTTCTCAAGTTGCTCCTGACACGAAAAAAGCTCCAGCTTCCCATGTAGGGGCATGAGAGAAGCCTCCCATAGGATAGTGTTCCCTGGGTAATGTCCTATCCAGGTGTTCCCTTGGTAATGTCCTATCACACCAGAAGCAGCTTGCAGTTTTTCAAGTCATTCCTGACATGAAAAAAGCTCCCACCTGCCAGCTCCAGCTTCTTCCCATGAGGGCTCATGAGAGAAGCTTCCCACAGGATGGTAAAACATCTGGGCGTCCCCTGGGCAACGTCCCTGCAGATGGCCAATTCTCTCACACAAGAAGCGACTTGCAGTTTCTCAAGCCAGTCCTGATATGAAAAAAATCTCCTGTCTGTCATCTGTTTCTTCCCATGAGGGCTCATGAGAGAAACCTCCCACAGGATGGTAAAACACCCAGGCGTCCCCTGGGCAATGTTCCTGTAGACAGCCAATTCTCTCACACCAGAAGCGACTTGCAGTTTCTCAAGTCACTCCTGTCATGAAAAAAAGCTCCAGCTGCCCCTGCGAAGACATAAGAGAAGCCTCCCATAGGATGGTAAAATATCCAGGCAGCTCCTGGCCAATGTCCTTGCAGACAGCCAATTCTCTCACACCAGAAGGAACTTGCAGTTTTGCAAGTCACTCTTGACACACACACACCCAAAACTGCTAAAGCTCAATCGCAATCATGAGAGTTGTAGTTTGATGAAGCCCCACCTCTCTTTAGTAGGCACGGCTCAAGACCTTGTCTAACTACAACTCCCAGGATTCCACAGCTTTGAGCCATGCCAGCTCATTGTTACACTCATATGTCTCCTTTCCTAAGGCAGGTTCCATCACTTCTTTTGAAAGGTAGTCGTGGTTAACTTGATGGAGGGTGGATCTGCACCAGGCCTGAGCAAACTTGGGCCCTCCTGGTGTTTTGGACTTCAACTCCCACAATTCCTAACAGCCGGTAGGCTGTTAGGAATTGTGGGAGTTGAAGTCCAAAACACCAGGAGGGCCCAAGTTTGCCTTGGCCTGATCTACACAGTAGAATGAATGCAGCTGGACACAGCCAAAAGTACCATGGTTCAGTGCTATGGAATTGGAGGA